ATTACTTAATTTTATAATAAGAGTTTGATCAAAAGTTAATACATGTTTTATATGTTGATAAATTTTATAATTTAAAAGATCATATTTATAAATGAGATAATGATGAATTTTTAGCATATAAAATAATCTATCATTCCTTTTATGAGTTCTAGATCCATCTTTTAGGTGTGTGTCGATTCAAGTTTTTCCTTTCCTTTGGATTCAAATTTGCTTCCTCTTTCGTAACTTTCGGTCATTCGTTGCACAGACAAGTCATTATTATACCTTCAAAAGAAGATAGTAATTCAAGTAAGCATGAACAAAATAATAATAAGTCATGATTTTAAACATTTGATAAAATCTAATTAAATATAACCAAGTTGTATTAATAGTGTAGAAAGTATTTATTATCATGCAATCACATATTCTTAGTTTTTTATAATAACATTTTTTAAAATTTATCCTTAGAATAATGTTTATTAATTGACAAATTATTTTGAACTAAAAAATGAAAACAAATGTAATGGTGTTAAATTTGGTTCTAATTATTATTTGAAGTTGATAAAAAAAATTATTTTTCTAATTCCCTATAATATAATAATTAATATAAACAAATGTGTGGTATTTATGAATTAATATGAAAATGGCATTTTAAAAAAGTATAATTATAAATATTAATTAAAAATAATAATTAAAATTGTAATAATCTATAAATAAATAATTTTAAATTATTAAAATATTCATAATTAATTTTACATTTAAAATTTTTAATATAGACGTTAAAGAAATTTTAATATACAAGCAAAAGAAATTTTTATTATAGACGTTAATGTTGAAAATGATATATTTGACATGATCACGTGAAAAGCGCAGGGGATAAAAATATTAAAAACAAAAGAGAATAATTTGAATTTGATGACTCGTCACTTGGATCCTTGTGTACCCTGGCCTCTAGAATCTTCCCCTACCCTATCACAGTCAGACTTTTTTCATTAATAGTATTTAATACACTTGCACTTTTTTTTTTGTTTTTTTTTATAAACATGATATATTCAGTGTCTCAAACTTAATAGATAAAGATTAATCTGTATTAACAATATTATTTTGATCAATTAATTTAATATCACAGAAATTAATCTTAAAAACATCAACCATATAAATTGAGACTATATTTATAATATACTTTTTTTTTTTTCTAAATAAAAGAGATTTATTAAAAAGGAGTACAAGGGGTACTCTAACCCATATACAAATATAATAGGCTAAAGAATACTTGTAGCAATTAAAAAATACGGTGCCTATTTTACAGTCACAGTAACAGAATATACGATATCTAATAAGCAATTATTAAGTAATTTATCACAGATTTTACACAAGGACATTGTTTGAAATACCCTTGATGATGACAGTATGTGATCTCCCACAAGTATAATATTACTAGTAGCTTAGGCATAATCAGCTAAAAAATCTCACCCTACGTACTCAGATGCTCAGAAATTGAGTATATGTCCAAAAAATTTAAACAGATGGCGGGGGAACCAACCCAAGATGAATAGGAGTACTGAAAAGAAAGGTCCTTAGCCTTAAGCCACTTCCAAAAACGAATTTGAATTATCTCCAATAAGTTAGAATGTAATATGACCTTATCAGAGAAAATAGCTTCATTCCTAGCAATCCAAAGAGACCATAAAATAGTCATCCACACAGTTGACCATCTTAACCGATCCATACTAGAGCAAATTGGTAAACCCACAAACTGTGCTAAGTAAAAGTGGCAAGAATTATGGAGCACAAACTTTATACCAAACCAATTTAAACACAACATCCATATGCAATAAGTAAAAGGACATTCAAAAAATAAATGGGACACTGTCTCCAGATCATGGCCACACCAAATACAGAATCCATCTCCAGCTCGTAGAATCCCTCTTTTAATATACTTACTAAGTAAGGTGAAAGAAACAATAATGTACAAAAGAAAAAAAGTTGAAATGAACAAGATACAAAAAAAATGAGATTGAAGAGACAATGAAAGAAAAAAATTGATATTTTTTAAAATTATTTTTTATTTTTATTTAATTAAATAAAAACTTTTATTATTTGTTTTTTCTCTTATGTAAATATACAATTAATGCCATATATTTTAGTTTATATATAATTTGATTTTATAATTTTAATTATTCATACAGTTTTTGTTATTTTTAATTGTTCAAATTAAGACATTCATTTCAAAATATTATCTAATAATAAATAGAATTTTCGTATAAGTTTAATCTATAACTGGTTTATATTAATTCATAAAAAAATTGTGTAAGATAATTAAATAAAAATAGTAAAAAAAAATAAAAATAGTCTTTATAATATTTTATGCTTTTTATTGCCAACTAAATTATATAAAATAAATCATTTTATACATCATATTTCAGGTAATTATTAGACAAAATTTTAAGAAAAAATACCTAATTTAAACAATTTAAAAACAAGAAATATTAAATATAAACAATTAAAACTAAATTACCACAAATTGTAACTATGATTTGATAAGATTGATTAATAGTGAATTAGTTTTGGTCAGGTCCATAAGGTTAAAACATTTATTCATGTTCATTATATCAAAATATTCCCTCATCCTGACACTTTGTGCCCAACATAACATATCCTGCATCTAGCGTCATCAAGGCAGGGAATTCTCTACCTTGTTTATGCTCGACGCCATCCAAACTATGCTTGATATGGGTGAGGTGAAGGCCCCTTAGAGCCTCACGTCTAGCGGGGAAAAACCCTCATTCGACCTCATATTAGATAGAAAATCTCTGCTTGACTCACATTTAGTGTCACCTCAACAATGCTCAATGTCACCAAGTTAGAGACTTCCATACTTTCACGTTCGACATTATTCAAATCGCGCTTGATGCCATCTCAATTCAAAACGAGTCTCTCTCATCAAGTTCGATGCCACCAACCTTGTGTCCGTTGTGATTGAGATAAAGCCCTCTAATTGAAACTGTGCTTGACATCACAAAGGCATGTCTAGCATGACTATGATTTCTGTTCAATGCAGATCATGAAAATTACTTCATTTTCCTGAAACTCAAAAAACAACCAACATGCATTGCGATAAACCATGTATATACGTCATAAACAACACACATTCACAACAAGAAGCAACCCGTGCAACAATAGATTAAGGAAATCACCAATTCCATCCTGACCCTCTAAAACACCAAAATCCTTTACCATTCAATATGATTTCAGCCATATTTATACCCATATTTGATGAAAATAACAACACAATTCATCAAATCAACCAATTAATTTGTCCTAACTCCTCTTATCTTTATTCTGAACCACCAATGAACAAAGAAGGAGAAGAAAGAAAGAAACTAAAATCTAAACTTTGCAAAGCTCTGCACCACTCTGAAAAACTCTCTTAACTCCATGGTCTCAAGCACACTAAACATCAACAATTCCTTCTATTACTTTGGAGACATTGAGAGACAAAAAAGAAGGAAGTTGTTTATCCTCTCCAATAGCCATGATACTTATATCTTAATACAATCCGATATTACATATTGAATCTCAAATCTATGCTTAGGACATATTTTTTTGGAGTTTTTCCTTGATAAATTGTGGCTGCATTTTTTTTTTTCTGAATTCTTTTTACCGTCGTGACCCGATCTCTACAGTAATTTGAACTAGGTAATTCATTTCAATCCAGTTACTACCGTATGGTTTTGATTTGATCCTCTATTAGCAAGTTTTTATTTTAACTTTTTTGAAGAAGATTTTGGATTTCTACACAACTTGCTGAAGAAGATTTTGGTGTCGAGTTTGATTAGTTTGACAATTTTATTGCTTGATGTTGTTTTCTGCTGGTATCAACTTCCTTTATTTATTTATTTTTCTTGTAAATTTATGTTGTATATTGTTTTCAATATATACTCACACACTTTTATTTTATTTAAATGATAGTTCTTTTCGATGATGTTATATAATTGGTCTCCAAGCTTTGTTACAGGCTGATGCTATAGGCATAGTTTTCTTACGTGTTTAATGTTGTTGTGTTTTTTTTTTAATTTTTTTTATCGTTTGTAATAAAAGAATAAAATAAAATGGTAACTTTGACAATTGACACTATGCTAGGAAGAGTGAAGAACTTCATAGTTTGGAACACGCCAAAATATAGAGCATGAATTAATTATTATGTGTATTGTGTTCATATTTGCTAATGTATTCTGTAATTTGCATTAACTTCTGAATTAAGAATGTCATTAGTTATGGATATGTTGGTGTAGATTTGTTTCTCCATTTAATAGGCGATAACCCAAATGAATAATCAATAGAACTTCCCGTGGTTTATTGAATTGGAATTAAGAGAAACATATTAATTTTATAAAACTTTAATTCTCTTTATTACACAGCTTGTGCTTCAATTTGGGCCTCGTTGTTTTTATTATTAATAATTTTTTTCCTATGAAAAAATTATACTTCCTTTTTGAAAAATTAGAATTCAGTCCAATCCAAACTCAAATTATTTCGAGTCGAATTGGATTCAATTGATTTTAAGCAATTAATATATTAGTAGTTCTCAAATTTGGGCCCATTTGGGCCTCAAGGAGAAATCTAGAGTATACAGAGAAACATTTCTTTCTCAAACTTTAAGCATAATCAAACATCCTAAAATTAGAGATCCCACTAGGATATATGTTTTGTCTTTCGCTTCCTCAAAGACAAGATTTGAAAGTCCTTTTTTTCCCACCATTTCAAGATTAACTTGCACGAAGCAATTTTTCACAAAGTATGGATGAAAGCTTTACACAAAATCTAGTAGAGTACACTATGTAGGGCGACACAAGATCCTCAAAATACATTATTATATTTGATTATATGGAATTAGTTTTATGTTTACACAAGTTATGTGTCAAATTTTATTAAGAGGAATAAGAAAACTAGAAAAGATACAAGAAATGAGAAAGGTGATTTTAATCAGTTTAGATAAATCACCCAATTACAAAGAGCAAGAAAGGAATACCACGAAGGGTAATATATTTACTATTTCTCTTTCAAGATTTACACAAGAGTCCAGGTGGTAATGGTATAATCAATGGGTGACTAGTTAGTCAAAATAAAAATAAAAAATCTTGATCAACAAACAAATTTAAATTCAATATAAGAATAATGACCCATGACCCAAGCTTCTTGAGACGGAAAACCAATGTCACCCAAACCCAAAAATGCCAAAAAAAGAAAAAAGAAAATAAAACCTTCTATATAATTTATTCCCTTAGGGACATCTTATGTTTCTCCCAGGTCCACCATAGTAAAAGTAATTTCCCCAAACATTATTAATCCCTCCTTGTATGTCATAGCAATTCGGGTGATCCGCAAGAACCCTAAGATTCGACAAGGGTACCAAGTTGTTATCCCAATCCACAACTTGCATATTCCTAAAATATGAAGCTTTTCCAAAACCTTCTCCTGCAAAATGTCCACTACCCATTTGGGTTGAAGTGTGAGACCCTGATTGCCTTGAATTCACAACTTCTCCACCAAATTGCACCATGCTTGCATGATCCCTTAGGTGAGTGAACAAAAATGATGGCCAATACCCAACTAAGATTCCTGATCCAAACTCAAGCCACCAATTCCCATGCTTTGGATCCTGTACAAAAAAATGAGCATGGCACCAAACCTTCAATCACACTTTTTGTTTAAAATGACTCAAAGATAGACATAATTATGAATAGCAACATGTTAGCCAGGTTGGTACGTGAAATGGGTCAAAAAGAGGAGAAAGAAAGGTGGTGAATGTTGGGGGATTGAGCAAGATATTGGGATTTTGTTAAAATAATAGTAAATTGAAGAGAGAAAAAAAAAAGTGAAGACCACAGAATTAGAAGCTCTTTGTTGGGAAAAAGGAAGAGAATCTTGAAAAGAAGGGAAGCATAGGAGAAAATACAGTTCATTATTAGAATTCACAGTGCATGCGTGTAATGTCCCAAAGTATTAAAGTGAGTAAAGTGGCATTGTTAACTAAGACGAGACATTGTACAAAACTTTGTGCACCATGACTTTATTCTTCCTCTTTTTAAATCAAATTTCACGTTTTATAAAATAAAAAAAAATAATTATCATGCCATGAAAAGCTTAAAAAATAATCTTCCCCTTGCTTCTTCTAATAGTCTATGTCACGAAATTCGATGGCTTTGCGAGACTTCCAAAATAATGGAGAGCCCACCATTGACTAATTTTGAACCCATTTTATTTATTCGTTTTTGGGTTCCTTTGGGCTTTTGACTACGAAATTTGAAGACTCTTTTGAACCAGAAAAGTATTCAAATCGGACGGTAAGCAGCAGTCTTCTGTCATCAAATCTTTTATCCTTAAGGTGGGACCCTTAACGTGGTCCTGCCTTGGTTGGTGGATTTCAACCCATCGTTTATGCTCATAAAAGATTAATCTAAACTAAGATAAAAATGAACCCTTATAATGACTTAATTTGTTTTATATATGACTTATGACAAAGTTTAACTTTTCCAATAAACAACAAAACATCACAAAATCACCCAAAATAAAAAAAAATAAACAGCAAGTAACCCAAAAAGAAAAGAAAATGGAGACTTCTGCATCAAATTGTTAATAAATATTTTCTAAGGTCAATATCGTAATGGAGCACGAAATTACCTTCCAGATAAGCAAGCTAATATCAAATTGTCCACCCGCATAAGAAGAAGTTGGAGAGATTGCAGCTCCAATTGCAATTCTATTGTTAGTTTGAACAAATCCTGAGCACAGTAAATTGTAGCACCCAGTTGCTTGATATGCATCACTCTGCAAATAATAATTAGTAATAATTTTCATTAGTTTCTTTCTTTGAAAACAAGAGTAATACTAATAATAAGAGTTAACTGTACTTTTTGTTATTGTAGTTTTAACTATGCATATTTTTTAGTTTTCAAGTTTTTTTTTTCATTTGTCCTTTTATTTTTAAAATTAAGTAAATTTAGTCTTAGTAGTCTCAAATTGTTATTTCTACCCAAATATATAAGATGCTGATAAATTTAAGGTATGAAATAGCTATAGAAGTTAGAAAAGTAATAAAAATTTGATAAAATTTAAAAGATCTTATAAGGTGTGAAAAATAATTGAGATTATTTATTTATTTAGACTGAAATTTGATATTTTAGTTGATGAATTTTTAGTATATGATAATTAAATTATGAAAATTAAATAAAAAACAAGAATTTAAAAATCCTAAGGATAAGAAAATTATAGTACTAAAATTGACAAACTTTTAAAATAAAAGAATTTAATTGACTAGGCTTAAACTTTATTTATATTAATGTGTTATCATGTAACTTAGACTTTAAGCAAGGATCATATAATTCTTTTACTTACCGTCCAATAAGTAAAGAATCTGGGGTATCTGTCCCCATAGAGCTCCGGGCTGACCTGCATCAAAATCAATTGAAATAAGTTTGGTTGTCAAAATTGCAAAATTAAATACATGAATGGTAGGTAGTTGAGCATGGTATCTGCCATTTGAATGCTAACCAAAAGGATATAGAAATTTATGAAATATTGAAAGAAAATGTTGGTGTAAATGAAGAATTAATTAAGATGCAGTAATGGCTGAGTTGAAACTTGCCTGCCAACCAGCTTCAATAGTGTTGAGATCATCCCCAAATGAACCAGATATGACCCACATTTGGGACAAACTGAATTCATCTTGATTTGCCACTCGAGGTGCCCACACGTTTATGCTGGCTTTTGCTCCATAGTACTGTGCACCACTCACATACCCAACTGCATGCTGTAACAACATACTATTGTTAGGTTTGCAAATAAAATTATTCAATTACTAGCTGAGGAACCATGGAATTCTGTGATTACCATAAATAGGAAAAGGTTCAAGTTTCACTATCCAAAGAAAGGAATCAAAATCCAGCTAATCAGAATTTTTTGCTATGCTTAGCTTTCATGACTATTCTTAGCTTCATACTAAAGAAGTCAAATACTCATTAAAGCATGGGGAAAAAATAGAAGCCATAGGAATGGGATGAAAGTGTTGTATGGAACACAACACACTTAACTCTCATGTGCTTGATTTACTAGTTTCTGCTAGAGTTGTTGGTTAATGTGATTACTTGGTTTGAAAAAGGAAAAAAGAAAAGAAAACCAAGTTTCTGTGCATACCTCATGTCCATTGCTGTTGGTGTCCCTTCTAACACGTCTTCTTACTTTTCTTCCAAATCTGCTAACAGAACTAGCCCTTAACATATCTTGTTCTGTTGTTCTTCTAATTGGAATTGTACCTTCTGGACAAGACTCTCCTGACATGGTCCATAACTGAAAATTCTCGCTCAATATGTCCATTTTGTTATGACCTTTTGGCCTTTCTGGAGGATCCTGCACATGCATGAAAATCTCCACTTTTTAATTCAAAATTCTTCCCAGCATGAATTCAAATAATTAATTAAAAGAATTCATTTAGATCGCATGAGAGAACATTTGGAATAGTTAGTAAATGAATCTGATGGATTAGTCCTTAACTTCTGTCTGTTGACAAAATAAATTCTTTTGACAAAAATAAGAATTACCAGTGGTTTGTGTCCCTTCAACATAGGATGATCAAAGGCTGGTTGCTGATGAGACACCACACAGTCTATTACATCACCATCAGGACTCTGCAAGGAACAATACAAAACAAACTTCACCATGTTATGGTTCAAAACAGGGGAGGAAACAGGGGAAGTGAAAAGCAAGAAACTTTGGCAAACCTGAATTGTCTTAACGGCGGCCTTGTTGATCTGTTGAAGACGAGTTCTTATGATGTCCATCTTGTGAACCTCTTCTTGCGGCTTAAGAGTGTTGTTGGCAACTAGGGTGGTTCCCATTTGTGAGGAACAAACAGGACAAAGCAAAGAAGCAACAAGAAGGAAATGTACAAGTGTGGAAATGATTGGGGAGCTCAAACACAAGCTAAAATCCATGCTTGAGAAATTTGACTTCCTTGTTTCTATTGACAAATCCTTGTGTGTTTGTTCACATTGGCTTTGTCTTCTTCTTCTTCCATGCACAAAACAAAAGTGTGTGTTCCTAGTCTTTGATTCTGCCAAGGGAAACACATCTATCCAACACATGGTGTGTATTCTAAGAAAGGTTATTTACTCCTTCACCATCTTCAATGTCTTGGAAGCACACAACAACGTCCTTCTATTCTCTCTCTGACTCTCTCTTGGAGTCTAGTGCTCAAGACTTGGGGGTTTTATTACTGACAACTTCAACTTCCAGGCGCTACCTGATTAAAATACATGCACCACAGTGTTTGGTTTTCTTCGAGTTTTGACCATGTGGGTTGGAGTACTTATAAATGCAAGAGTAGTGATGAAATCATGACCAATTTAAAAATTCCAAAAATGAGTGTGTACAAGGGGAGCATGAATCATAGCTTATAAAAAAAAGTGGTTGGAGTGTTTTTTCACAGTTTTTTTCTGGTCTGTAAAGAATATAACTATCATAGTGTCTATTAGTTTGTTAGTTCAATAATAGATACATTAAAATGGTGGTTTAATGTCAATTTTAACATTAAATTAGCTCCTTAACATTAATTTTTGACTTATGTTTATGATCAAACTACTGACATTTTAATATTAGAGAATTAAAATAAAGAGTTTATTCTTAATTGTTTCGTTTTCAAAGCGAAAAAGGTAGGGTTTTTTTTTTTTTTTTTGCTTTTTCAAGAGAAAATAAAAATGTGTTGGTAGGAAACTGCAAAAAAGATTTTTGTTAACCAACTTTAATCAAGAAATGAGTTGTTAAAAGGGGTTAAGATTAGCAGAATTTAATGATGTCATTTTGTAGTTATCAATCATGATAGTTTTCTTTTGTTTCAGAATATGTTTTTGTTAGTGCTCTCTGTTTAGAAGTAAAAGAATTGGACAAGTAACCATGTATAAGAAAAGGTTAAAAAAATTAGACAGAAAATGTACTTGAAGCCATCCAAATTGGTCCTAAGACAGTTTGGGGAGAGGGAAAGAGAGGGAAGAAATATCGAAGACAGAGAGATACAAGAGGACATGTTTCCGGTCTCCGATACAAGAACTGAAACTTTAGCTTTTGTGCTGTTATTTTTTTGGGGCAAAATGGGACTGATGATTTCTGTTATTCTTTACTTTGTGTCTGAGGACAGATAGGAATTCCGACTGATTTTTTGCTTTCTCACTTCCCAAGATGTTCTATTCCGAGTCAGCTATCTACTACTACATTTTTATTCATTGCATGTATTATGTATTATACCATATAACATTTCAGGGATAACTTCCTATACTTTTCAGTCGAATCTATTTCCATCTTTGGAGGGGCTATTTGCATTAGTTGCAACTTGCAAAACAAGGCTATATCCACTTGTGTCCCCATAACTAGATAGAGCAATTATCTGCTAGATGAATTAAAATTTGTTTGAATACATGTTAGAAGAAATTTTCTATCGAAAAATAAAGAGTATTTTTCAATGAAAAAACTCTTTATTAAGCTTATATCCGATTAGACTCTTAATACATCATGAGTAATGCAGCTTCTATATATTGTATGAGGCATGAGAGTGAAGGCAAGTGTATGTATTGTTGTGGTAGGAAGGGCCCCCCCAACCTAGTTGGCACGCGCGCAAGCACCTGGCTTTGAGCGCTGCGTGTTTAAACATCTCATGCAATGCACCCTCCATGCGTATCATCCTTTGTCTATGGTTTTGGGGGCTCAATCTTTTCTTTGTCGTTAACCCCATCCAGATCACTAATCATGTTTACCAACGTAACTACCTTAACCCCACTTATTACATCTTCTATGCTCACCTAATTCCTTTTCCTTCAAACACTTTTGTTTTTTCTCTAGACTATAATCATTTAATGTCTTAATCTTATGTTATTACTATGGTGCGGCCGAACTAATCGATTGGCTGGTCAAAATTCTAACCAACACTTTTGAATATCCTTGGTAATAACGATACGTGTGGGAAGTGATAAAGGAGAGGGAAAATTAATGAAGTAAAGAACATACTACTGATTTATTAAGTACTCCTTCATTGAATATGTTTTTCTATTTCTTTCTTTTATTTATTTTGGGCTTGGATGTTGATTGCAACTTGAAGTTGTTTCGGGAAGAAAATGGTATTATCAGTGTTAAGCACTCATTTGAGTTAATAAAATAGTTTTGAGTATTTTGCTGCTAATTGTAGGATTGGTAGATTGAATTATGACGTTACTGTAGGGTCATGTTGGCGTCATTGATAGCCTGCCTGTGCTTACTTTTATTGAAAAAATTCTGCCCACTGACACTCTGAAAAAGATGTGAATATAGTACTATTTACACATGTGCTTTTTTTTTTTTAACAAGGGAAAATCAAGTATTATTATTTTTAAAATACTTTCCCATCCTTAATTGAGCTCTTCATTATGAAGTTCACAGTTGCAGCAATTTTAAACAGAAGTATCCATCTATATGCAAATATTGTTTTTTTTTTTGTTTTATGACATGATTATTTCTCAATTTTAGATAACGAATATGCACTTACCTTGGTATATAAGAAATACCAACCTCACTATCTTGACTCCGAGGCTACACAAAGACCAAAAATAGGCATGCCTAGCATAAATTATTGAGCAAGCACTTGATTGCAATTAAAAATATAGTTTCATTGTAGTAAAACTTGGTTCAAGTTACTTAGGCCTGCATACTTTTTAAATATGTATAAAACGTATGTCCACAATCAAAATGATTCATACCAACAATGCATAGTGAAAGTATGCTACACATAAGACTGGCTTAACCTTTGTAGGGATGTAGAAACTTTTGTTAGGACTAATTGAAGGCTTCAATTAATGGCATCAAATTAACACTGGAGTTGCTTTTCTTTCAGAATGTTTCCCTAGTTTCTCCTTTTTGGGGTTCTGGCAATGATGCCTACCATTTTGCCAGCAGCTCCTTTTATCTGTAGCTCTGAATTTTTAAATCTTACTTCTCAGAAGAGACCTGGCTCATATTCACTAACATAAGCAACATAAAAAATAGAAAGCACATATCCGGACCTTGTGACTTTGAGTCACTCTCATCACAGCTAATTGGTCGGCACAATAAATTATATAATCTCAGTGAAACCAGAAATTCATGTCTCTTACATCCACAAACATTCAACAATGTACTTTACATAAGTTAGTTGAAGGTCAAGAATCAATATATGTTTTGGTAGCAACTATAAAACACAAAAGGACAAAGATGCTTTCTTCTTTCACCACCTGTTGTTTGAGTGAAAACTGAAAAGACACCTCTAACTAACTCTTGGACAATTTCAAACAAGGGCTTAATTAACTTAATTATTATAGCCACCGGTTTAATAAATATGAAGCATTGTACAACCAAGTTTGGACTTAGAAAGTCCCCTAATTAATAATGCCTTGAAATTTTTTTGTTTATCTTTTAAGTTGTCATTTGTCACTCACTACATGTTAAATTTTTCATGGATTAAGACAGTTGAAGAGATGGAGACAGATGCTTTATTTGAGAAAACTATAATATAACCATTTGTTTTGCATGGTGGCTGTGAGAGCATGAAACAGCAATTTGACACAACTGATAAATGTTTTATATTGAAAAGGATACACATCGAAAAATTGACATGCGTTTGCATTTTTAATAGATTTTGTTACAAATTTCTTAAATTTAAGAATCAGTATTATAATGTAGTTTACTATTAGAGCAATTGATGGGTTCTCATAAGATTAGATGTTTGTACGAGTCATTTTAAATTCTTTAGGATTATAATTTATATATACTACCATTAGAACATCTCTAATCATTGAATTCTTAAATGAATTTTTAACTCATTTTTGTAAATTCCATTAAGTCACATATATTTAAAAACCCAACAAATTTTACTCCAATATTAAAGTTTTTAAATTAATTTTTTCTCTCATTTTTATTGGATTTATGAAATAGAAAAGAATATTTTTTTTTAAAACAGTTGCTTATAAAAATCTATTCCATTTGTTTCAATGGTTAAGAATTCATAAGAAGTTAAACAATTTCAATGGAGATGCTGCAGTGAAAAAATTGTTGAATTTCTTAAATCTCATGTATCATAGACAGCAATGGATCTTGATGAAATATATTTTGGGAGTCAAAACTCAAAAAACTTAAATACCTATACTTTAAAGTTTAAATTATTTATATTTTATATCACATATAAAAAAAATTCATAAACTTGTTAAAAGGGAGAAAAAAAAAATGCACCATTGAAGATGCTTTAAGCAAAAAAATTAAGGCAAAACATGCTGCAGACAGAAAAACGTAGTTCACAATTAGATGGGCATACAAAAACATGTAGGTGTAGTAAGATTTGAACACAGGTTATTCTCTTCCTAGTGCTTTTTGGGGTGCTGGTAGGTACGAGGCTATTACTAGTATTATGGAAGGTAATTCTAGTCAATAACTGATAGGTAAGGATGACATGGGTGAATGGTGGATGAGCGTGCAGTGTGAGAGTCTGTTATGCAGAGTTATGGTCTAAATAATTTAATTAAGATGAGTTTAATTGAAATTATTGTACCACACAAGAAAATAAGAACTGGAGAAAGGAAAATATAAAAATAGTAATTCCACTTGCACTACCAAGGTACATTTAATAGAAATGAATATGTAACGAGGGGGTGCTAAATATGATTTCTATATGAATGATTGATTCATTTTGTCAGAGAAGAACGTGTGTGATAGAAAAAATAATACTTAATGTAATACTCCATTATTTAAGTTTCCACTTCCACATCTTGTTCAAAGACTAGTAAAAAAATAAAAAAAAAATAAAAAAGGCTGAATGGCTATAAACAGAAATTAAAAATCTGAGTTGATATACTTGAATACTATTGATGCAGGCCTCTTCCTCTGTATGAAAAGATTTCCTTAGTTTGCAGACATTGACATTTCATAAGTTAACTATGAGAGTTTCTCTCTAAACCTCCTGATGAGTGGTTACATCAAAGTTTTGTCTTGTATTCTTTCATTCCATATAAGGCGTTACATAAGTGACCTTTTTTAATGCATTATGTGGGCAGCATGGTAGTGCTCATTGAGGGTACTGTAGTTGGTGGGCTAGTCAGTGACTTAATTCCTTAACGCTTATACTATTATTCTTCTGAAATTCTTTTGTGCAGTATTCTAATTGGGGCCTGTGCATATAATGATGATGTCTCCTAGTTGAAGCTGCGAGATTAGATTAGAGGGATCAAGCATATGGAAAAAGAGAAAAAGAGGGAGAGAAAAGAGCCACTTTGTGTGGTATTTATGTAGCATTTCAGAGTGGGAGCCGAACCTCCTCTTCATTGACATTATTATTAGTAGCCGGAGGGTTGAATGAATTTCACAT